AATACTGAGAAAATACTAAGAAATACTGAGAAAATAATGAATACGGTGCTTACGTAAGCTCCGAGTAATATACTCAGAGTTGTATATAAAATTACTCCCTTAGACGCGTAGAGTCATATAAATATATATTCTATATTAGTATAAGAGATAGAGATTTTATACATATATTCAAAATATTTATATGTACTTATATATTTCGCGAAAGAGAGAGATCCGTTGCTCAATAATCGAGCTCGTGTCGCTATTGTCAAAAGGCACGCTTAATTTCTCTTATCGAATCGAATTACACAGACGAGTGGACCGAACCGGGCTCATCTTTAAGGTATTATCATCACGGTTTTTTCAAGTTACACCAAGGCACCGCTCGAATGTTTGTTCGTCAGACAGTATGATGTAAGAAATCTGATACGTCGTCGCGAGATATCCGATAAGAATGCTCGCTCGGCAGTGATTACATGTCACGGATGAATCTTATACATGCAACGAGATTGTCGACGAGAAGATCTTCCTTACAGATACATGTAGCCTACGTGGCGGACTAAGATCACTTTGGTGGGGTGTCAGTCAACTTCGTGCTTCCGCCGGTGTGCAGCACCAGTTCTTCTCGCATGTAAAACGTCACGATCTCCTCGATCGTCGAGAAGGACTGCTCGTTCATCTTTGGGGAGCCCAGAGCGTATCTGAATCCAACACGGACACATCAGTTGACAAATATCCGGCAGATTTCGTTAGTAGCAATGTAAAGTAACGAGAAGTATCTTGGCAATTTTAGCACATTATTCGAATAATTCTGAATTTTTCTATTTTTTTACTAAAATCTTACACTCCAAAATATTAATCCGGATAATAATCACATGCAAAAAATGTTGGTCTCAAATGTTTGTCCAATCATTTGGTCGAAATTATTAGTTTACGTCCTTTCCCGTGACAGAAATTGGCACGTGATGTTAAGTCACAGTCCAGTATTCGGTGTGCAAAATGTACGGACCAAAAATGAAAAGCGATCAGTCTCAATAAACGAAAAGCGCGTATACCTGTTGTCGCTCCTCTTCCTAACCGGAACATTGTAGACCCTGTCCTTGTACCAAAGAACTAAGGCTAAAGGATTGCCGACGTTCGTAGTGGATGGTCTCATAAGGAAGTATCCATCCTGTGGGTTGTTGTAAGTACCTTCTGAAAACGTTTAGATATTTAGTCTCGCCTCGAATCGAATTATTCGAGCTTTATATAATTCATACATGCTGAGTGCGGTGTCGACATTTTCATAACGGATTATTCACCGGGAAGTTTTTTATACACCGGCTTCTTCTCCAGCGTTTCTTCATCATGCATTGTACAAAATCGACTAATACGTACGCTCTTTAATGAGAGTGTTCGCCTGTTCCCTGGTGACGTTGTGAAACCAGGGTTTGTCCACGTAGGACTGCCTTTCCGGCGGGGGTGGTAGCGGACGCGTAGCTCTGTCGGCTGACAACGAGACGTTACTGCTAGAATGAGGTAACGTGGCCGACTTCTTATCCGGTGATCGCTCTGTAAAGATATGAGAAAGTCACACTCAACATAGTGAATACGGGAGAATATCGAGAAAAACACAACAACCGCCGCGCGTCCCGCTTGGCAAGAAAGATCCTCTCCCCGTGAGAAGGCGGATCGATCGTCGTTACTAACTTGCCAAATTGAGCCGAGCCTGCGTAAGGGCAGCCTGCGTCAGGCACTCCGAAAGACTCGCTTGCCGACGTGCCGCCGTATTCAGTGACACGTTTCGCTTCGAATCGCCGATTATAGCTGCCATTATCGCTAATGCGCGTGTCTTCCTTCCCGGGTCGCGTGCACTCGCGCGGTGTTTATTGCGCGTCCGATCGTTTCGTCACTGAATTCCTCATCGACCGCTTTATGATTAACGCGTACTACCGTGTCGATTAAGCGCGACCGAATCTCTCGTGCCGGGCTACCAGGTCGGGCACAGCGGCGACGTTAAACAACGCGCGAGCGGCCGCACTCGGTTACAATGAGATAGACGGGAAAATGGACAGACGGATGGACGGATAGAGGTTTATTCATCCCCTGAGGTAAAATCCCCATCGGGCGTACAGCAGAGAAGAGAATGATGGTTTGACAATTAGCGGTTTACAAATAAGCGAGTCCAGTTCAGTTGTGGATGGTATGCGGAAGAAAGAGTGAAAAATAATAATAGAGTGCAAATAACAAGCCGTTATGAGAATATGACAATGATAATAGTGATGATTCTCGTGATAATTTATTATAATTAAATATAATTGTTTAATGTCGGTCGAGCCGATAGGTGCAAACGTTCGGGCAGATCGGACAGATGCCACTTGCACAGTTAATAGTATGAAAAGAGAAGAGAGAGAGAGAGAGAGAGACAGATAGAGAGATAGAGGAAGCAAGAGAGACGTACGCAAAAACAGCAATAAAGACTTATGTCGCGCGATAATTGCTAGCGAGCGTTGTCGCGCGGATCGACGACGCGAACGTCGCGAGCACTCCGGGGAAACTGAGATCGAGCATCGGAGCGGATCGCTCTGGAGGATCGCGAAAAATAAGATATCGATCCGTTGGTCCCTCGGCATGGGGTAGACGCGCCCGTTCGGAAGCGCACTCAAAAATATCCCTCGTAAATCGGGTGACCCGAGTGCTGCGAGTGGCCGTCGATGCGCTCGGAGAAACGGAGATAACCACCGGGGAACCGAGAGAAAGGCGATCGATAAGCTCGGATTATACCCCCCCTCCCCTACCTTCCTAGATTAGACAGGATCGTCGGTGGATAGGATTTCCTCGAGATAAAGAGTTGCTTCCGAGGGTTTCGCGAAAACGACGACGAATTCCGAACGTCCGCGAGCCCGCGGGATCTATTCTCGTCCACCGGAGAGTCGATCTCGGGGTGTCAACGACCTCCGAGCAAGCCGAGAGAGCGAGCGGATGCACTGGTCTGGTGCGCTCGCACGTATAACTACTCTGCGACACCGGAGAAGGTGGAGGAGGTAGAGAGTCGCCGAGCGCCAAGCGTCCTCGTTCCGTGTACCTGGCGGTTCAGGTGGTTGCGAGGAGCAACACGTGGACGGACCCCTCTTGATCCCTACTATCATATCGCCGACTTCGTCGGCCAGCCGCGCGGCCAGACCGCCCAGGAGCTGTCTGCTCACCCGCAGGTAGAAGCAGAAACACAGGCATTCCATCACAGTGCTTTTGCCCGCTCGGGCGCTCCTGCCGATCGCCCCCTCCCCCCGCTAGACAGCAACACTCGCCGGAAAAGTGCTTCTCCTGGCTACAATTATTCCACTATGGTGATTTTCGATACAAGTATCGGATATTTTCCCCTTGTCGATCTTGCTGGGAAGTGCCGGATTCTTTGGGGGAGGTCCTTTGGTAGTTCCTGGTGCGCCCCGAAGGGCGACCTCAGGGAACGATGAGGCGCGACAATCGCGATAACGTCGCTGGCATACTGTCGACCGGACGACAGTTTCGCGGGACGCGGGACAATTCCGCTCGCCAGGCGTCGATGCCGACGATCGCCGAAACGCAACTGGTGGCATTATTGCGACATCAGGTTGCATCGGGGGAAAGCGGTGATGATAAGCGCAGCATTTGTCAGTCACATGTTCGTGAGAGTCCCTGCGCGACTGCGCTTTGCATCCTGCACTTTTTTCCCCATCCATCCCGTCGTGTTCAACCGCATATGCTGCGGCAACGTTCCGCTGTTTACGCCCGTCCGCTCGCCGACGTAACGAGGCGACGTGCGCGAACGGCTCCAATCTCGCGTCTCAGTCGATCGAGTCGATGAGCGGAAGACAGCGGCGCCGGTTCGGTAGAGATCCAATTTCACGAGGCACCCGACCATCGGAGGTAATCGGCCGTTATTCATTAAAAGGAGCGCTCCTTGATGAATGAATGAGAGCCGGTTCTTCCTGAGTCCTCAAGTCCGTTAGACTGAGACCGAAAGGTTATCTTCATTTCGAGAATCTTACATAATTGTGTAACGTAATTTCGAGCGAGAAGCGTTTCCCAAGTCGCTACCGAACGTCGCGACTTCGCGAGATTTAAGCGTTATTACGACTTCGATAGCGCGGAAAACCGTGTCTTGTTCGAAATTACGTTATATTCTACCGCTCGAAGCAAAGAAGACTGAAGGCTTACTAGACTGAAGATCCAGCATTGCGTTTCTTGATTCCTCGGAACCGATATCGCTTGTTCCGATCTCAACATGTTTCTTGCCGGCGCCGCACTATGTGCGACTCTCACCAGTCTCTCACGAGAGACCGGCGTCACACATGTATGACAGCATCCATTTCTCTCTCTCTCTCTCTCTCTCTTTCTGTACTCACATTATCAAACCGGGTTTGTTTTACATAATAACGTAAAAAAAAAAAAAAAAAAAGAATCCGCGGGTCTGCACGAAAAAAAAGTGCTAGATTTAAGTAAATAATTATTTCAATATTCCTTAGCGAATTTTTGGATTAATGATAAATTTTACTTGGATTGATATTTTATTTGAATCAAGTGATATTTACCAAGTAATATTTAATAATAAATATTTTACTTCAATTAAGGCAAATATTAATCGATAAATATTACTTGATCCAAAGTGAAAATTTGCTGGAGAGCATCGGAGTAATTATTCGCTTGAATAGCACATTTTCCTCCGCGTGCAAACGAACGCCCGAGAGCGGACGTGTTAATCTAATTCCGATGGGATGCGAGAGGGAAGCGCTCACCTTTGAGTTTATCCGGCCTGGTTCTCTGATTAAACGGAGTGGACGGCGGGGTGGGTGACGGCTTGGCGGGCAACGGAGGTGGCGTTTCCGCGTCGTTTGTCCTTTGAATGGGGCTCATGTAACCATTGTTGTCCTCCGGCTGGCGCGGTGACGAGTTAATAATCAGTGATCTCGCGCGTTCCAAAGGGAATCATCGAATAAGGAAGGAGAAAGTGAGGAGGAGGACTCACCATTTCCGTGATGCACTCGTAAATCTCGTACTCCTCCTCATCCTCCTCCTCCTCGTGGCTGGCGGCGCTGGGCGGCTTGTAAACGCTCTCGACCGACCCCTGACGGCCGCTGTGCAGCGACAGCTTGCTGTCGACCCTGGTGATGTCCTTCCTCTGAGGCTGCTCGATAACGTTGTCGCACGTCTCGTACTCGTCCTCGCTCTCTTCCGTTCGCTCCGGCAGATTCGCCACGAGGTCGAAGTTCCTTATGGTGGCCGGCGGTTTCGGCAGCCCCTTCTCCGGCTTCTTCGCCTCCTCGGGTGGTACGTAGTCCTTGTTCCTCTTAGATTCCGAAGAAGGCGGCGGAACCATTCTTTCTGTGGGAGAGAGCAGATTTCGTTGCGTTTCTGTGCACCTCGACATTTCGTCGTTTCGTTATTCGATCCTTTCGGTACGGTAAGTCGCCAGAACGCCAAACGACGTTGGTAATTTGAACGTCGACGGACGTCATGAAACTCGATGCATTGAAAAGTATTTGGAAACATTCAGAAACATTTAGAAGTTAAAGAAATATTTAATTAAGAAAATAAACGGCACAAATGAGGGAAAGAATGATACGACGAATCATCTCGAATCGAAATTAACATCTATCGACGCCTTACTGGCGACCGATCCGGAAGAGTGACAAATAATAATAAGTCCCGTTAACAGTTCTTCTCTCTCTCCCTCCCTTATTCGAGTATCCTTTCGCGTACCGAAAGGATCGAAGTTACAAGCATAAACGCGCTGACTCAGCGAACTAACTTGGCATCTCTTTAGGAACGCACTGATTTATCTTGGGCGGATTATGCAGGAAAGACCTCTGTGGATATTTCTTGTCGGGGGAGGTCACCGGGATCTTCCTCGACGACAAGGTTTCCGGCTTCGGACCGATCGTCGGCTTGTTCGCCAGCAGCTCGCTCTTGCGCTTCGACTCTTCCTTTTTTTCCTTCGCGGCCTTTTCCTTCAGTGCCTTCTGCAACTGCTCGTGCAGCCTCGATACGTTTCTCGGGGGCGGCGGCATCGGCTCCTGGAAGTTCTCGTACATGTTATCCTCGTCGTCGTCCTGACAGGACTCGCAGTTGGCGTAAGTCTCCTCCTGCTCCGGCGGCGGTCGCATCGGTTTACGCACGTTGTTGTTCTGCAGGAGCGCCTGCCTCATCTTGACCAGACCGGGCTCCACGATCTTCATCTGCTCCGTGCTCTCCTCGCCGCGGGAGTTCTCCTCGGGCCCGTCGTCGTCGAAGTCGGTGTCCCAGTCGTCGTTGTCGCTCGGGTGATCATCGTTCGGCTGAGCGTCCGCGGCCTTCTCCGGCAGATACTTCACCGGCGACCTGTTCAGTTCCTGAACGAACGCGAATAATTTTCTGCAACAATCAATTAGCCCCGATTTGCAATTTGCGTGTCGTTCGTGCACGGGAAAAAGTAGAACAAGCACGGTTGAATTAAGGAGGCGAGTGTTTAGTTAAGCGCATCTTTGCGAAGCTCAACGATATTATTTACTCTCTTATGTTTCTTATTAATGCTTTATTTATACGTCTGTTAAATTAATAGAGGTGTATATATGATAGAAAGTGACGTATAAATATTTAAATATGTGCATACGCATACGTTACTATAAATTGTAAATTTCCCATAGCTTTGAAACAAAATGATCAGAAATGGTCTGAAATTTGTGTATAATGTTTCTATATGAGCCTTTAATATCACAGTAGTTTTCCGTTAGAATCCTAGATGTGGTTTAGAAGGAATTAAAAATAGAATAAAACAGAAGTTAAAAGCACGGAACATCAATTTCGGAGAAAGAACACGTGTAAAAAGTGTCATCTTCAGTTGCGAATATCTCAGCTTCCGGATGGCCAGTCGTTTTCTAACTTTACAGACGTGTAGATAATATTTCCATCAATATGCAGCTAAAAGAAATTTCAAAGAATTCCTCCTAAGAGAACGGTTCGGCCGATTACCTTGAACAACAAGTAATAAAATTCTTAATAAGAAATATAAATGTAAATTTTGTTACGTTTCGCGCGTATCCAAATTTACTTTTTCTTTTAAATAGAACAGCATGTCAATCGAACTTATCCGGTTACCTTAACGAAAACGACGGTTCGTTCATATTCCAGCAAACAGTCCGGCTAATATATCCACATTTCGGATTAATTAATTCAACCGATCTTTTTTCCGCGTTGTCCCGTGACGAACGTCAGTGTCCGTCAGTCGTTTCACCAATGTCTTCGAAAATCAGACGCTTTATCGAGCGGCGTCGGAACGAGCCGCGCATGCGGGCGTCCACAGGCGGCGGCGTTAGTTGGATGGTTACGCGAGTGTAAAGTGAAAGAACGATCGAATGCGACCTACGCGATAGAATTATGCATTTATGCGCGACTCGCGGTCATCAAATTGTTCAATCGCGCGAAACGCGCCCCGCAAAACGCGGCTCGCCTCAGCGCCTTTATAAAACGCTGAAGAAGCCCGCGTCCGGCTCAAATGTTCAGCAACGCGACGCATCCCAGCTCACCCGTCGTGTCTACGTCAGCGTTCCTTTGCCATCGAAAAATTGCCCTCGTAGAAAAATTCCGACGAACTTCCGAGTCAGTTTGATCAGACGGATTCTTAACAGGCCGAGAAAATTTAAATAAAAATGAGACAAAGCGACGTTAAAGCGGCAGAAAGAAGATCAGTCGAATTAACGTGACAATGAACGAAGCAAACCCTTGAAAGTAAACATCAACTAACATTGCAACAATGTTATCAAATTTCCCACTCAACAACGTGACTGTTATATACATGTTACGCATATCACATTGCCCTTACATGTCGAGTGAGAAGTGACAACACTGATGTAACGTTACACGCTTAGTTGATGTTTACCGGGGCGCATTTTCTCGTTGAAGCGAACAGAATTTCTAATCGGAATTCGAAATTCTTACGAACCTAAATTCGACGCTTGCGAGCGGAAATTCCGTTCCTCTCGACGTAAAGCGCAACATTCGATTAGTTCATTGGCGCGTTCATTCGACCGATGTTTCCTCATCATATGCATATCATGCATCGCGTAAGGCTTTTCCTTTAACGGATCAGAAATGTTTCCGCGTTTCATGCGCGTAAAGTTCGCGTGAACGATACGCGAGCGTAAGACGCGTGCGCTGTTCGCATACGGAATAATCGGATACCGTTAGAACGCTATGAGAAGTACGAGACGCGATTCCGCGAAAAGGGGAACGAGAGAGAGAGAGAGAGAGAGAGCCGCGATACGGACAGAAATAAAGCTGGATTTGCTTCGCTCGCTCACCCTATCAGTGGCCGCGTGAGGTCATTCTTCCAGAGAGCCAGCTTTCCATCCGTCAAGTGCTGCAATAATTAGAATTAATTGAAGCGACCGCTTAAGAGCGCACGCGTCGCCGGCCGTCTCGGCGTACTATCGCGGCCGGAAAGAGAAGCATGGTCGCGCGTTATCAATAGAAGCAGTTAGATAAACGCGACGCGTGTCTCTTTCATCAAAACTAAGTTATCGACGTTTCTCCCAGCATTAATTAAATCACCTTTATTTATAAATTAGGTCATTAAGAAACCGGCAAACAAAAAAAAAATTATATATATATATATATATATGTATATACAAGCAACATATTCTTTGAGAATGTACTCTCTAAATTCCTCGGAGTGGAGTCTCGCTCGAAACGAATAGAAAAATGGCGGTACTTTCATTCGAAGCGAAGTAATGAAGATACTGCTAATCGAAATAGCGAGAGTGAATGTGTTTCACTCGAGCTCAGAGTGGATTCTGTAACTCTGTTACAACTTTTACAACAATGGCGTCGTTTAACTTGCGACACGCAGCTTGCCTATGTACATACATAATATATATCCTCTCAATATGTATAAAATTACAAAACAGGTCTGCCGACTCCATACGAGTGAATGATTAGTGCCGATTAGAATCGATTAGAATGAATTTCCCGTAACGATGAAAATAAAATCGGATTCGGTCTTCAATTTCGAGTGAAGATCGGATTCACTCGGCGACTCGGAGAGGAGGATTCACTCTGTGCGAGTGAAGAATCGCTTGAATCTGAACAACTCGAGCTGCGTTCGGAAACTCTACCCGACGGATAAAATAGTACTTAATTGACCAATCAAGATAAAAAGAACAGAAGATTTCCTTATCACGATTTGGTTAATTAAATACTGCCCTATCCGTCGAGTAGAGTTCCCGAACGCAGTCTCGGCTGTCATTCCGCTTTCCTATGTGAAGTTTAACTCCGAGAAATTTAGAGAGCAACACAAAAGAACGCCGTACTAAGTCTGTAAGTTGAGAAAGATGGAAAGGTCTACACCGTCCGTCGGCAACGTAAACCTTTCAGTTCGCCGATTAAAAGCCGCGAACAAACGTGAAACTTGGTATTCCGCCACCGAGACGCCCCACTCTTTTCGGACGCCTTGTATATTCAGGGCGATCATGGGGTCATCGACAGGAACACCCATGTGAAAGACGTCGTGAAAGAGCCGACAAATGAGACGAAACCGGGAAGTTGCTTACACTCGGCTGCTACTTCCCCTTCTCGTTTTTTCGCAAGAGACAATTCACTCACTAGCAATTCATCGCCGTCGATCTGCCGCTTCGCGACCGCTTGGCAACATTCCTCCAGGCCGTTCTGGAAAAATCAGGAAACGTACAGTCCGCAGGATGTTTCACGCGCTGATAACGAGCGAAGGGCATACGCGCGCGCGCGTGCATTCCGGTATTACGTGTCCGAAAATACTTGGATCGATCGAAGAAAAAGAGAGGAATCGACAGGATGTGATGTGTCGTAGCAGATACACGCGCTGATTGCCCAGTGTTTTTTTTTTTTACATTTTATCTCATCTATTCCGCGGAGAAAATCATTCCCAGGAAATTTCTATTGTCGCACACGATATATACACACAAAATAAAACACGATGTGCAATTAACCGGGAAAAATATTTTCCACGTATAACCAGATTATTTTTACATGTAATTATATATTGTTATATATGATCGTATATTTATTATATGTAAAATCATTATATATGAGAAATCTTCTCCTGGGAAGTTAAATTATACATCATCATACATGATGATTTATTTCACCGATGATCCCCTGTGGCAATTAACGTGTTGATAACAATTAACGACCATCACTCACCGTTTATCATCGAACGAACAACTGAGTTATTTTTAACAAATTTCATCATAAATGAAATATTGAGACTGCCGATAAGTTAATTAGCTTCGTTAACTCAATTTGATTAACTTAATTAACTTCACCAACTTCTTGTCGCACTTTTCCAACGAAGCGAAATAAACTGGGGAATTGATCCTTCGAATATTTTCGCATCGTTTCGTACGAAACGCCGGTCACAAAAATTCAGAAATCGTTCAACTGTTCGCGCTGAATCATTACGATGCCTACCGATTCGCGGAAATCGAAGGGAAAACGTAATCACGGCGAGAAAACGATGCGACGCGATGATGCGAGGTGCGTGGCGATTTAATTACTCGGGAATTCGAGAAAGTTACGCACAAACCAGACCGATCATGAAAACTAGGATACGCACGAAGAGATGCGAACGTCCCTTTCGCCGGCCGAGTTCTCAAAGAAAAGTGTCCCTAATGTTCGGTAATTCAACGGGACGCTCTTACGCGAGAATTTAGAGCCGACCACGTTTATTCTTTGTTAATAAGCCTTTGTCGGATTGAGTTCAATTCACTTTTTGACACGCAGCCTTCGAATAAGCACAAGTTTACACATACAGTTACATACGTTAAAATTTGTAAATTAACTTAAAGCGCTAAACGTACTTTAACGTCTTAAATATTAAACTGCTTAACGTTCAAATATTTTCAAAGTCACACGCAAATTATACACATCAAAATATTCTAAAATACCAGACGTATTTTAACACACAAATAAATTAAACGTTAAAGTAAATTTAACATATTAAATATACATTTAACGTCCAAACATCTCAAAAGTTATACACAATTATACACGTTAGAATCTTTCAACTTTTACCACTGATTTTTCCGATCAAGAACGGAGACACCTGTGGAAGCCTTCAATTGTTCTTCCTGACTCCTATATCGAAAAGCGCTGAAAACCTTCGCTCCCGAATTTTCCCGAAAACTCGGAGACTGCACGATTGTAACTCCCTTAAACCTCCGTATTCCCGCTCAAATTTATCACGCGTCTCACTGCGAAGAATAAGTGCGTAGTATCGAAGATCTTCGGAGTCAATGCCCAGCGTGGTTACTCGATCGAGACCGCGAGGAGAAAAAAGAAGACCTCGCTACGCACGTGCGTGCTTGCGTTCGCGCCGCTTAGGTGTTCCCCCCGTGTGGGCATTCCCGGCGACTCGTCACGTCGCGCTGTTGAAACGTTACGTACACACATCCGAGCTGTGCGAGACGATCGCGCGCGCGCGCGATCGAGAGAGAGACGTATGTAAGTCGAAGCGTGCCGAAAGCGAACGGACGTCCGACGAGAGAGAAGGAGAGAAAAAAAAAACGCAGCTGAGGGATTCGAATCGCACGTAGACAGCTGATAGTCGGTGGCCGCCACGGAGCCGCCTGTACACACCCTGTCGCACTCCCCGTGGTCTCTTTCCTCCCTTATCCTCCCGTCTTCCTCGTCCCGCCTGCTTCACAAGTCTCCGTTCGTCTCACGTGTGAAAAGCGCGCAAGGTGCGTCGGCGAAGCGCGTCGAACGCGATCACCGGGACGAGATGTTGTCGTCGTCGTCGTGACGACGACGACTCCTCGGCCGCACTCACCTTCCGCAGCAGTCTCAGCACTTCTTCCGTGTCCCAAACGGAGATGTCGTTGAGGGCCGAGCTCCGTGACAGCTCCCTGGACATCGCGCATCCGCCGTATCACGAGGGGAAAAAAGCGTCGCACGTGCACGTTCGCCGCCCGACGGCATCTGTCCTATCAGCTTTTTGCGGCCCGGCTGTCTGACAGGACTGGCATTCCTCCTCTCGTCGCCCGCGCGGCCACCACCCTCGGGAGAGCCGGCGGCCACTCGCGCGATTGGTCACTTCTACGTGCACCTGTTACGTCGCACGCCAGGCCCGTCTCTTCTCGAACCGAGCGGCGAAGGTCCCCCCGAACATACCTAAGCCGCCTGATCCACATTCGTGGCGGATCGTGTAATCGTGGAATGCGACCGGCTGATCCTTATCTTCGGCGGCGAACGAATGATAAAACGCTCGGTCGCGATCCTCTGCTAATACACTCTGTAATTTCACAGTTATCTCTGTAATTATCTACCTCTGTGTACAAGTGTATACCTGATAACATCAGAATCTTCTCTGATATCTTTACACTTGGAAGGCTTCTTATTTCAAAAAGGAATTTTGTCCCTTCACTGTGGACGCCGTTATGATTTTAAGGTAATTATTTCGCCACCGTGTATCGTTCCTGACGACTACTGGCTTCCGTTCCTCGGTTCCGGTGTTCTTTTTAAAGATGACAAAATATCTAAAAGTACAAAATTTCGTTATTATTGTATAATATTAATGTGTGATTTTCCGGTCATCCTATTTCTTTTCCAAAAGAAAGAGGAAAATTCTGTTACACGTACACATACATTAAGAAGATATTGTACAATTTTGCTTCAGGTTTCGTTATCTTCGTTACCTTCCTTCGACCCAACGAAAATCAGGGGGAATTATGAAATTCACTGACATAAATTGCGTCTAGATACTTTAGAATTGCTTTTATTATCTTTGCATCGGTGGTGGTCTTTGATGCCTCTTTTGCAATCGGCGATCTTCACACAGCAATAATAGACGCTTTTCGCTTGGATTGGACTGTGTAAAGATAAAATTACATGCGGATAAAGTAGATCATTTTCCAAGAGAAAACATATTACGTCTCGCTCTCCGAAATTTTAACATGAACGGGAAGCTCGGAGCTCAATTTACAACTTTACAGGACCCATAAGGTTTCATATCTAAAAGGGATCTCGCAGACATAGTAAATACCTTCCTCCGAACATCCAGAGTAACAGCAGATGCCGCGGAAGTGCTTCCTCTAGTCGTATCGTTTTTTCTTTTTCATCATTTCGCGGCGTGTTCTTCCGAACTTCCTCGGCAGCGGAGAAGGAGTAACGGCTGATGGAGGGACAAACGTCGCGCATGCGCGGTGAGGAGAAACTCGGCTTGTCCTCAGTAGCGTACATACTCCGCTACAAAGTGCGGTAGCTTTGGGTCCTCAGCGAAAGAGAGATATTTAACCACAATCTTCATTCACGGAAAGAATCTTTGAATTTTCTTTTCGGATAATTAATAACGGCTTGTACTGAGAAAAAGATGCAAAAAGGTTAGTTGAGCCCACAAACGCCCTGTGTTGCATCATACGTGTGGGGCCCGACCGGCGGAGTCGCACTTTCATTACCGTCACTGGCGCGCCCTCGAGTGGCGTTTTTGTGTTACTCGGGAGATTTCTGCAGCCATGAGCGTGGTGCCGGGAGTCGCGTAGACGCGATCGCCAATCGACGATCTGTCCGATCGGGTATTCCTCGGTATCGCGAGTACTATTATCTCGACGGATACGGAGCCGGAAAAGAGGGTGACGCGATGACTGTCACCGAGCTGGATACGGAGCGAGTGTTCGACGACTTCGTCAAGTGAGTAATAATTGTCACGCGATATCACGGCGAATTTTTTTCCACTCCGACAACTTCGACCTGTGAGAAATTCGAAAAATCTCGCACTATAGCGAACGCGCGACGTTCCCATTTTCTCTTTCTTTTCGAGACTAGATACGATCGATACTGTGCATTCTTACACGAAGAACAGACGAAATTACTCTCTGCACGATTTCGATCTTTCCGAGAAAATCCAGCGCGAACATAATTGATTTCCGTACCGTATAAGTCATTCTCACCCAATCGCGGCCAATGATTTGCATATTTCAACCCAACATCGCGTGATAAAACGTTTATCAATTCGCGAGCTACGCTTTCTGATGACCTGATTTTTCATCGAGTATATCTTCGCTGTGCAAGGTCCAGGGAGCTGACCGTCGTTCACTTTTACGCACCATGGGCGGCGCAGTGTTCCCAGATAGACGACGTGCTCGAGGAGATGTGCAAGCTGGAGGAGTACAGAGGTGTGCAGTTTGGCAGGGTCGAGGCTGAGAATGTACCCATGGTGTCTCACAAGTTCGGAATAGCGGTGGTGCCCACCGTCCTCTTGCTGAGAAACAGCTGTATAGTGGACAGGGTGGACGGTGTCAACACCATCGAGTTGACCGGCAAGGTCAAGCATCACTTGTACAACAAGGATCCGTTGTCAGACCATGTGATCAAATTCAAGGAACCACTGGAGGAGAGACTGAAGAAACTGACCAATCAGGCGCCCTGCATGCTGTTCATGAAAGGAAACCCGGCGCAACCGCGATGCGGCTTCTCCAGAACCATCGTCTCGATCCTGGACGGCTACAAGGCCGATTACAAGACGTTCGACATATTGCAAGACAATGAGGTTAGGGAGGGACTGAAAAAGTTAAGTAACTGGCCGACGTATCCGCAATTGTACATAAACGGAGACCTGATCGGCGGATTGGACATTGTGAAGGAGATGAGTGAGTCGGGCGAGTTGGAATGTATGTTACCGAAGAAGGAAAGTGTCGAAGAGAGGCGAGTCGCCGGTGCATCTGTCTAAGCAGTCTTTCGAATAAAATATTAGTGAAGTAAATCTTGCTCATTCAAACACAAGCACACATATGTACATCTGTAAGGAAAGAGAACCCAATATAACTAATAAGTCGCAAGAAATCCTCTAAATAGCAAAATATTTCTTTTCCAGGAGGTTAGACATCATCGCACAATTGCTGCTTAATACTTCGATAATTTTTCTAAGATATCTTCTATTTGTAATATGGCCCTGAAGTAATTCTGTTCGAATGGCGCGATATGTGCGCAAGTTGAACTTTGTCATGATTCGCAGCTTGAAATGTACATTACTTAGCATCAATATTTTATCATATATTAACATTATAATATAACATTATAGTATATTAAGTATGCAGTCAGAGAACATAACGTGTGTTCAACAGAGAGGTTTAATAAAGATCTGCATTTCATACAATTTACAGAAAGAAAAAGGAATTACAATGCATCATAACGGATACAAATAAACTGATTCTCGGTACAACAAAAGCCGTTTTTACAATTCGCATTGATCTTCGAAGTCCCTTGAGAATTTTCTCACTGCCGAATTTCATGGTAAATTTATGATACAACGTATACGATATCATACATTTATGATACAAGATCTTGTAAGATAATATTATCAATTAAATTTATTTTTATTATAATTATTATTACTTATATATATAAATTAATTAACTCTTCTCTCTAATCTCTAGTGCTTTTTTCGTTTGTTCTTCATTCCTATGCGCGCACCCTTCTTCGCCCCAGAAACGATGCTCTGAAACTTGCCTGCATTCTTCTTCTTCTTTCTGCAAAATTGACGTTTTATTTGTCAACACATTCAGAGAATTGAACCGGAAATCAAGATTAATTTAAAACACCCTATGTATATATGCATATATATATATATATATAAGAAATAAAAATACTGACCTTTTGTTCAATACCGCTCTCGTCAGAGGTAGGTATGCATAAGGGTCTGGTTTACCTTTCTTCTTCATGTCTCCTCCGGCCTTTGTCGTGCGGAATTCCGAACCAGGAAGTACGTCTTCGACTTTCCTCGTCTTCAACGGCCGATGAATGCCCGAGCCGCCGGCTGATTAAAGGAAGAAATTCGAGTGTAAAGGTCATACCACACACATACATACACATATACTTAAAATATATTTAAATTGCAAAATGTGAAGTATCTCATGAAATTACTTTGATATTTCGACGTCGATTGGCTCTTCAAGCTGATCACGTCCGAATCCACATCGTTGTGTTTGCGTTTTCTGGCGGTTTTCGTCATCCGTGCGTCGTCCTCATCCTTGCCGTCTGAAAATGCGTAACGCACATTACAGGAAACTCACATTACTACAATACAAATTCTGAGCAAAAGAGAATGATCTCTTACCGTCTCCCGAATCGCCCTCCCAATCGTCATTCGAATCTTCTTGCGGGAAGGGAGTCTTCTTCCTCTTCTTTTTCTTACCTTCCACATCGCTGTCCCTCTCGTTGCTATCTGTAATGATGAAGCGACCGTCCGGCGCGATCTTAAAGTCCTGATCCTTCACTTTCTTGCCCGAAACCTTCGGATTAGGCAATCCCGGTTGAGTGGCTGAAACGCACCAATCGAATGTTGTTAACGAGCAGAAGAAAACTATCACCCCCAAAAAAATAATTAATATTAACCACTAGGAAGACCAACTAACATTCATTCAGCTCCATTAATCGATTAATATTAATCTCTTTTTCTCTCTAATTCAAGCAGAGAGTCGGTTCATCAAACCTCAGTTTAATTAATCGAAGAAAAAATTAGAGACTGGCAGAGAATTAATTAAGCTCGACCAATCGAACAAGGATTTAACCCCCCCCCCCCTCTCTCTCTCTTTCTCTTCTGCTTCTTTTTCGAGACCAGCTGAAGCTAAATCAATCGTAACAACGTCTATCGTGAGAAATTTGTCAACCAACTTGTGATGTTCCTCGCGGCCGCTGGATCGATGAGATCGACTATGTTCTCCTCGTTCTCTTGGATCCAGGCCTCCTTCCTCGACGTCCTCTTCTTGTTCTTCTTCGGCTCCTCGCTCTCGGTCGCCTCGAACTCCTCGTCGCTGTCGGCCAGTATCTCCTCGATGCTCTTGGGCCGCCTCTTGACGTTGAAGTCGTTGTCGACCTTCTCCCTCTCCGCCTTCCGCTTCAACCACTTCTCCTCCCGCCTCTTGCACTTGGTCTTCTCGATCTTGTTGATGCTGTTCAGTCTTTTCCGCAGGAGCACGTCCCCGCTCGGCAGGAGCTCCAGTATCGCGGTGACGCCGTAATTTCTGATCAGCTTGCTGATGACGTCGCGCATCTTCTGCCGGAAATGCCGGTGGCAGTCCTCCTTCATATCCGACAGGGCGCGGACGATCTTCGGCAGCATCGGTTGCACCGTGGAGCGCGGCACCGCGCCGAGGTACACCTTCAGGTAGGAAAGCGCGGACTCCACGGTCTCCCTCGTGGAGCTCGTCAGGATCGTGCAGGCGAACTCTACGATCTCCTGGATGGTCTCGGGACTGAGGGAGCTCTCGTAATTGTAAGTGAGAGAGGCCAGGGCGAGGAGAGTGGCGCTGCAGTACTTGTCGCCGCCGGCGATGCCGACGGTCAGCTTGCTCGTGTACTCCCGCATGAGCCCCGGCCGGTCGAGGAACTTCTCGGCGATGACATTGAGTAACTGGTACGCCGTGCTGCGGCACTTCTGATTGACGTCCTTGACGGCGAGCACGGCCTCCGGCAGTACGGCGTCGAGGAACTTGGTCCTCTCCAGCTGCGGATGCCGCTTCACCAGGTGGATCAGGCACTTGAGACGCGGCCCCCTGCTCGTCTTGATCACGCTCGTCGCCGTGGACATCAGCATCTTCTGTATCTCACGTCTGTGCTCCTCGAGGAAGCTCTTGCAGCCCTCCCTGTCGCTGCCGCACACCTCCTCCAGGAAGCGGTAGGCCTTCTTCTGCTCCTTCTGCTTGCCGTCGTCCCTGAGGAACGGCACGCACATGTCGTAGTAACCTTTCAGCCTATCGGCGTCCGTGTAGCCGATCAGCACCCTGATCAGGTCGTAGATGCTCTCCTTCGCGAAGTCGTCCGTGCCGGCCGGCTCGCTGAGCTTGCTGAGCGCGCGGTCGAACAGCTCGTTCGCCAGCTCCTTGCTCGCGATCGTCAGGTAGACCTTGACAGTGTCGAAAGCGGCGAGACGCTGGCCCTCCTCGTCGGTGCCGCACGATCTCGTGGTGTACAGGTTGAAGAGGATCGGCAGGTAGTTCTTGGCGAAGCGCGCGAGCTCGCCGGTATCGGCCGTCTTCTCGCTCTGGGTCGCCTGGACGATCAGCCTCCTCAGGGCCGCCAGCACGGGCAGCCTGAGCTCCTTACGCTGGTTGATGATCATACCGAGCTTCTGGGCGATGCCCTTGAAATTCTCACTCACGTCGCTGGCGTCGCTGCATATGCTCGGCAGGATCGACCAGATCTGCGGCACCAGGAACTCGTACGTCTTGCTGTTCACCGGCTCCCTCCTCGCTTTCTGCTCGCACAGCTGTGCGACCGGCAGGAGGCACTCGGTGAAGAATGAGATGCTGCCGCCAGTGATGCAGTCCTTCATCAGCGGGATCAGCCAACCCCTCCTCAGGTCGACCGCGTCGCCGTGGACGTGCAGAGGCAACACCTCCAGCACCGCTCGCGGCCCCATCGCTCTGATCGCCGCCCCGATCGCGTACTCCGCGTCGCTGTTGTGCGCGAAGTTGTGCGAGTCCCGCAGCTCCCCCAACGACCGCACGATCTCCACGAGTCCCGGCGGCTTCCGTTCGCCGACGGTGCGGAAGAGCACGGCCACCAGGTGGAGCACATGGTGCCAAGCTCCGAGGTACTGGTAGCTCAGCGCCTTGCGCATCGTCGCGACTACCTGGCGCAGGGTGGAGTCGTACCCCCGCGTCTCGTCCTCGCAGAGCGGCGCCACGCACTCCTGCAGCATCGTCTTGACGACGTGGGACGTGCCGGTGATCACGTCCGCCTTGTCGGCCAGCCAGAGCTCGGCGCACTTCTCCAGCATGCGGGGCAGCACGGCCGCGCACAGGCTCAGCGAGCAGCGGGCCAGGTTGCAGTGGGCCTCCTGCATCACCGCCAGCCACGCAAGCGTCGGCTGGCCGTCGCTCGCCGGCGGCTGGTAGTCGTACAGGGCGGTGATGATCTGGGCGTTCCTCTGGGCCGGCAGCGACGCCTCGGACGGCCTCGAGACGAAGAGGCCGTGCAGTGTCTGCAGGCAGCAGGACGTCGTCAGCGCGTTCTTCAGCGTCATGATGCGCAGCAGGCCCTCGCAGATGCTCTTGACGTGCGAGCGCGGGAACTGGTGCGCCACGTCCTTCAGCAAGGACAGCACGTGCAGAATCGTCGTGATGCCGCCCGGCTCGCAGGCCGCGTTCATCGCCGCGACGCAGTGCTGGGCTACGTGGGCGGCGGCAGGGTGGTGGCTCGGCGGCTTCTCGCTCTTCATAATGTCGCTGCCCTTCAGCATCGCGCGTATCGCGTGCTGCGCGGACTTCCGCACCTTCGGCTTAGCGTGAGTGGTGAAGGAGAGCACGGCGTCCAGGACCTGGATAGTCGAAAGCTCCGTCCAGACGGCGGCCTCCTGTGCTCTTAGCAGCACCGACAGGCAGCCTATGCAGTGCCGCAGGATGAGGGAGTTCTCGGTCACGGCGTACCTGCTGAGGATCTGCAGGAGGACCTGGCTGGTCGCGCCGAACCGCGAGTTCAGCACGTTCCTCGGCACGGCCTTGAGACCCATGCCCAGCAGGGACACCGTGGCGGCCACGGAGGTGTCGTCCTCCACCGCCTCCAGGGTACTCATCAGCGCGGCGAAGTACTCCGTCGAGGTTTGAGCGCCGCCGTTCTGCTGGATGACGTCTGTCACCGCCGACAGCACCGCCAGCATCTCTTTGTGCAAGATCGAGTTCGACTGGAAGTGCTCGAGGAACCTGCTGAAGGAGAGGTTGGAGCAGTTGCTGTAGCTGCTGGCGAACGTGTCGAAGGTCTTCACTGAAGTGCCCATCGCCGTGCTCTCCGTCGGATCCTTCGCCTCGTCGATGCCGAGCTTGGCTATCTGCGGCTCGATGCCCTGCATGGCGTCGTGTTTCTGCAGATCTTCCTTCGTGATGCCCGGAGTACCGCTCGGCAGGACCTTGAAGAATATCCCGGCGGCCTGCTGACGGTACTTGGTGGTCTCCGGGTTCGAGCTCGAACTCTGACCCTTCGCCCATCGCTTCGCTTTCTTCCTGCTGGCCAAACGCGGCCCCAGCTTACCCATCTTCTTGGAGTACACGAAAGTCAATTCGAGCCAAGCGAGCTCACACCGTCTGCAAAAAGGATGAAAGGTGACTTCGACCTGCGAAAGATATTCAAAGTTACTTCCTTCTTTCTTTCCTTCCTTCTTTCATACGTGGCTCCAGCTAACTTTTCAAGAAACTTGTTTAACGTCACTATGGTCGACGAAGAAATCATTGACTTCGGTAGGACGTTTCACCTGAATCTTTGTCTGAAATATTTTTTCTCTTTTCTTTATTACACAACATATTTGTCATCGATCACAAACAGTGGCTTTTTAGTTTAAGACAAACACAAGACAGACGTCATTGTGCGTTACTTGAGACAAAGACTCGAAGCGTAAAATATTGTCTCGAATGTCGAGTCGATCATTTCGCTAAGGACCTTAATCTTTTTCGTTCGTTTAACGTAATCCTTATGTTTATCTTTACACGCAAATCAGGCGAGGTTATGTTCGTAGGTTCCAAGTTATGATCTCCCACGTGGGTCTCGTCACGAATCTCCCACACACGCTTCGAGGCTGCTTGTCCACTAAATGACGAGCAATAGAAACGAAATAGGAGTTTTCGAGTACATAGCGCCATCTGACGCCAGTAGCGGACGGTAGTTACATGCCGTTAATTCCAAGTGTTCGCCCAAAGATGGCACTATAATTACTTTAACTATAATTACTTAAACTATAATTACTTTAACACGTGAATTGCCAATCACGCGATATCGCGTGATGCGAGTTCTCACCAAACGGCCGATCACGTGTTACCGCGTGGACGTCGCTATCAAGTTTCTAAGCGGAATAGTACAGCGGCCACAGCGAAACGGCGCGTAATATTTATATTGGCCACTAGGGAAGGGATCGACTTTCGTGGAGTGGGGATGGCCGCCAGCCATTGTCTATTGTTTATGTTAGCCAGTGCGCACAGTAGCGGCGTTCGGACAAGGCGACGACGCAACGATTTTTTAGTTATTCGTTGATTTAGCGTGCTTGAAGTTTGGTTTTTATTTATTTTGAGTATTATTTCTGTTCTTTTTAATATGAGTGACCAATCAGGACCCTCGAAAAGACTCAGTGCAATGCCGGATCATGCAAGAAAACGTCTAAAAAGTATAGAGGTGGAAGAGTTATTACTGGATTCGGATGACGACTTTTATGCAGGGAGTGATATCGATGATATAAACTATGAATTTATTGATAGTGAAAGTGACTCGGAATCCGAAGAAGACGAAGCTTCGCAGTTGCAGGTGAAACAAAATAATGAGGTTGTAAATGAAGAACAAATATCCTTCAATCAAATCTCAGTTCGTCCCGTTTTTCCTTCTAGTTCTGCGACGCCATTTGCAATAACTGCGTCACCACCACATGTCCGCCTGACCAGCCATCGCGTGCAGTTTCCAAGACATGTTGGAGTACCGACTTCAGTTCTATGAGGGAAATTCCCTTTATTCGGACAAATGCACTACTAGTGCCAGCGCCGAATAATCCGAGGGATTATTTTGATTTATTTGTCAGTGAAGATTATTTACAAAATATCGCCGACTGCTCAAATAGATACGCAGAAAACTTGAAAAATTCATCTAATCAGGTTCAGTCTCGAATTACACAATGGAAGTCGCTCACTCTAGAAGAACTGAAAATCTTTATTGGGTTACTATTACACACTAGTACAACAAAAATGAATCGCGTTGTTGATTACTGGAAAATTCACCGTTTATATAAATCAGTTTTCCCTCAATATATGTCGAGAAATAGATTTCAAATCATTCTAAGATGCCTTCATTTTGTTGATGAACAAAATAATGCCGATCGCATGGATAAATGCAAATTAGTAATAGATAATTTCAATAATGTTATGGAGTGTATTTATTACCCCGGTAAAAATTTGTCTTTAGACGAATCGATGATTTTATGGCGTGGTCGACTTATTTTCCGCCAGAACATCAAGAGAAAAAGACATAAATATGGAATCAAGTTGTATGTACTTGCGGAACCAAATGGTATCATCCTAAAAGTGCATGTTTTTGCCAGTACGTTAGATGTAACTGCTGGGAAAGGCCACACAAAAAAAATAGTGGATAAGTTATTAGAGGGAAAATTGAATGCTGGCCATGCAGTGTTCATGGACAGTTTTTATAATAGCTATGGTTTAGCTGCCAAACTATTGGAGCAAAATACATATTGCACCGGCACATTGAACAAGAAACATAAAGATAACCCAAACAGCATAATTACAAAAAAACTAAAAAAAGGTGAAAATGTATCACAGTGTCGTAACGGTGTCCATATAGGGAAATGGAAGGACAAAAGGGAGATAAATTATATATCTACTGAATTTCCTGACGAAATGCAAGAAGTGATCACCAGACGCGGCACTGTGGCAACGAAACCTGCAGCCATCATAAATTACAACAAAAATATGTCCGGCGTTGATCTACAAGATCAAATGCTCAGTTACTACCCATGCGAAAGGAAGACTTTACGTTGTTGTATGAAAATTTTTATACATACTTTGATGATGAGTCTGATAAATGCCCGGGTACTTTATAACAAATATTCTAATCAGAAGAGCATGACACTTTATGATTTTAGGGAAAAAATTATTGAATCCTATTTGCCAGAAATAACATCTGGCCCACAAACAACACAAAAGACATGTGGAGACCAAGACCAACACAAGCTAACTAAAATTGAAAAAGCCAAACCGCGATGTCTCAGTACCGGCGAAACAGTAAACGCAACGTCCAGAAAGGATTGCAGAAATTGTTATAAAAATAAAAAAAGGGTAAACACCACCACTGAATGTAAAAAATGTCCAGGTTCTCCTCCATTATGTTTTGACTGTTTTTTTGAATTGCACGATTGCACTGCTAAATAATTTTATATTTTGTACCCCTTTTTTATTTTTTTGAATATGTAAGTGATTTACAATTTAGAGTAACTTCAGTAGTTATATAAGTTTTTTAGTGATATTATAATATATTACGAAACCAATTAGTCCAACGAAATCAAAACGTACAGTAAGTTCCCTATAAATGTTGATTTTTGATAATTATTTTTTTCTATTTGTACGTTATTTTTAAAAATTCTATGTGATTATAAAAGACTGATAATTAACACGTTAATTGCCAATCATGCGATATCGCGTAATAGATATTTAGAGTACATAAATCCTATGTACGTAATAATAAAAGCATATAAATAATATATTAACTTCTTTGAGTACAATAAGAACTAAATAAAAAAATTTAAAAAATTTGGCCACCACACGAAATTCCAATTTTCAGCTTAGCAATGAACGTGTTAAACCGTCCTAAGATCATCTTCAGATGCATCGTAGCTAATGAAACGATCCGTACAGCATCTGAAAAGACCAACTTGTTTATATGACTATTTTTTTAAATATAAGATCTGACTATGACTATACTGCTGTTTTTCTTGGACGCTCACGCGCTGTAAGCATCGTTTTATTTTCTTCCGGCGTATAATGAATAATAAAGATAAAATGACGCTTGCAGAGTGTGAGCGTCCAAAAATAACACAGCCTACACGAATACCGCCCTTAAAACCACATGAGCGTAAATTACGCGTGGGAAGAGGCAGTCCTGAGATCAAATTGTAACAGATTGAGAAAGGAAATTGTTGCGAATATGGGCGAAAAGTTCATATATGATTCTATATAATTATATATAATCGTACAAAAATCACTTTTTCCCGGGAATTCTCCAGGTCTATGCGAAGTATCGAATGAACTTTTGGCATGCATTGCGTAACATTGTTATCTTCTCCATGCAAACACGGGTACACCCATGTAGGGAGTATTTCGTAATTTCTTATGTGGGTCAACACGGCCATATGCGACCGGTTTCTTTGTAATTTATAATGTTCTTGGTGTTCTCACCGTGTTTTAAGTTACTTTTCCAATATGCTAGCAAAAATCCACGAAAACCGAACTAATTTTGAGCACAATAATAACTTTCTCCACCGACACACAAATATTATGTAAACGTTTGAGAATCGTTCGAATCTTTTAACGTTCGTAAAACGTGCAAATGTCTACTCGCTAGAGTATGCGGAATAAATATTGAATTTATATTAAATATCACAATATTATACACATATCGTACGCCGGCCCCGGTGTGAACCCTCCATAAAGTTCGAAATCCGAACGCTTTCGAAACGTGACAGTTTTGGGCTAAGCGCTCTGCAAGAGTACGTTCGGATAATCGTTAGATAAACAAAGCGTTCAGCGGGCCGGTCAACCTAAAACACTTCTCGAACGTTTACATAACGTTTACATGTACATTATATAGCGTCTGTAGCAGCTGTATGGGCAGGTTTTAACACGTTAATTGCCAATCACGCGATATCGCGTGATGCGAGTTCTCAACAAACGGCCGATCACGCGTTATCGCGTAATAGATATTTAGAGTACATAAATCCTATGTACATAATAATAAAAGCATATAAATAATATATTAACTTATTTTGAGCGCAATAAAAACTAAATTAAAAAATTTTAAAAATTTGGCCACCACACGAAATTCCAATTTTCAGCTTGGCGATGAACGTGTTAAGTCGAACAGGTAGAACAGAAAATGACAATGGCGTCGAAATGACGTCAGGAAATGACTACGGGCTTTTCGAATTAAATTCCAATCGTTCGGCTTCGCTTCGATAGTTGAAAGTCGCACGTCCGCTCGTGCGTACACACTCCGGCGAATCATGTTAATCGCGTTAATCTGTATAGCAAATAGGGAACCTCGCATGATGAAGCGACGTCGCTCAGCATCGTTGTAATTGTGACTATAACGCGGCAATTTGCACCGCAATTTGCGGAGCCACTCGCGAGCGGCCTTGCTGATTTTCCTTCACCCGATTTTTATCGCGGGTGATCACGCTGGAGGATCCATCTGGATTCCAGTGCTCAGACAACTTTCGCGAGCCTCCGCTCTTTTTTTCCCGATCGCCAAGTGCACGCTCGAGTCTCCTTCGTCGAAGGGTTTTAGTCGCGAGTCGCGGCGGGAAAACGCTCTCGATTGCTCGTTGACGCGAAGAATCACCTCGTCCACTCGAACCCTTTGACCGGAAAGAAGAGAGAGGGAAGAATAAAAAATTCGCGTTGCGCGCCGGATCGACGCAATATAAGAATAGTGCGAAAGTGCGAGGAAGAAAAGGCGCGGAGGGAACTCCGTCAAGGAAGCGCCATCGGGAAGGTTGCTGAGGGTTGCTGTTCGCGGAAGAACGACGATGATCGAGTTGCAAACCGACCGGCGAGTAGAAGAAGAATGACCGGCAAGTACGTGTTATCGTTTCGGGATTGTTTTGCGAGAGAAAAAGAGAGAGAGAGAGAGGAGAGAGTTCGGCGAATCCGTCAATGGGTTCTCCCTTCGTGTCGACGCGCGAGTTCGAGCTTACAGCAAGAAGAGGAGCTCGTCGGCATTCCGAGCGGATCTCTCTCGATACTCGATTAATATTCTCGGTTTGCGTGACTTGCGTCACACAGCCGTGACCTTAAGGACGCCAAAGGACTGCAACGAGTGACGTCCGCGGCTCCCCGATGCCATTAAGATTCCAGTCTTTCCCAATGCAATCCCTGCCGAGAAGCTTTCGATCGCATTCCGAAGTGACTTGACTTCGCGGCGTCGAAGAACACCACGTGGTGCAACGAAGTATCTCGTCTCGCCGACTCTCTCAGTCACATCAGGAGCAAGCTCGAGAGGTGGCCGCGTCGAGACGCGAAAGAGTGTCCCCGATCGCACGAGGTTGTTAATCGATCGTCCGCGTGCGAAGAGCGATGCGGCAGCCGCGAGTGTCGCAATTATCGCGCGTCCTCCCGATTATTGCGGTTGGAAACGAGCCCCACTTCGACATGCCCAGCTGCAAATGTCACGGACAATCCGCGGGAGAGCTCTCATACTGAAAAGTACCGCCGGCTGTGATTAATCGGTGACCGGTGATGAATTATTGTTGCCTCGTCGCAGTTTTATCACTTACACTTGAGTAACGAAAGAGCGACTGTCATCATTGAGCGATACTAATTGATTACTGGCCCAATTTGTCACTGCCGGTAGCGCTTTTCCGCCAAGGAAACCGCTCATTGTTGCCGTCACGGACTACCTGCGTTATACAGGATGTCCCGAGAGGAAAGGTCAGTGTTCTATCGGGCGTCATCATTTTAAGCAGAAATCTTCATACGAACGTGTGTCCCGTTTAACCTTGTTTCAGAGGTATTGGTGATTGAAAATAACGCCTTTGAAGTGTACTTTCGATACTGTTTTTCAAATATTGACCTTTCCTCGTGTCGTATCTAATCGAGAGGTGTTCTCCACTGTCATCCTCTTCATTTTGCGACCACCGAAAGGATCATAATTCCTTATATCCCTTATAAAGGGATATAATATTGAAGTTATCTTGAAATCGTACCCGATTGCTGCTCTCTATTACCGTTTTTTTTCATTATTCCGCCACATAGAGCGAAATCAATTGGCTCGTAGAGTCGTTCTAAAATTCCGTGGATTGCGATCGATGTCAAGGTATCCTTTCCACAGAAATTTCATCGAGAGGCTCTTGCGCAAGCTCGAAAGTATGTGAAGAACGCAAAAACCACAAAGACTACGGCGCTCGATCGCCGTCTACGTTCGAAGGAGGAGGAGAGGAAGAGGAGAGAGAGAGAGAGAGAGAGAGAGATTCCAAGAGGATTCGGGCGCGAGATTCGTCTGTCGCGTGGCCGTCTCGGGAGCGATCAAAAATCGGCGCGCGATGCTGAGATCCTGCCCGACGACGATCTTGCTTCTGGGCTGCGCCGCCGGGTCGATCCTGCCGCCGGCCGTCCTCGAGACGATACTCCACTTCTTCTCGGGATTTCCGGCGAAGGACCCGCTGCAGGAGGTCGCCGAACAGCGCTACGACTTCGTGGTGATCGGCGCCGGCTCGGCCGGCTCGGTGATGGCGAACCGTCTCACCGAGAATCCCGGCTGGAAGGTGTTGCTGCTCGAAGCCGGCGGGGACGAGATGTTCCTCACGGACATACCGTTCCTGGCGCCGATCCTGCACGTGACGGACTACGGCAGGGTATACAGGAGCGAGCCGAGGCCGCAGGACGCCGACGGCCGCGGCGGTTATTGCCTGTCGATGGTGGACGGCCGTTGCAACATGATGTCCGGCAAAGCGGTCGGCGGCACCTCCGTGGTGAACTTCATGATCTACTCGAGAGGCGCGCCGGCCGACTACGACGGCTGGCAGGCGCTCGGCAACCCCGGCTGGAGTTACAGGGACGTGCTGCCGTACTTCATCAGGTCCGAGAAGTGCAGGCTGCTCGATCGGGACGTCAGGTGAGCGCCGAAAGTCGGCTGGTCGGCCGCGAGGAACGCGCTCATTGAATCAGATCAGAGCTTAACACCGACAAACATCGGTCAACCTAGTGGCATCACAACAGTGTTATTATATTTCGCTCAACAATATAACTGTTGTACACGATTTTTGTAACGAGAGTATGATTGATAAAATATTGATAAAAATAAGTATGATTTTTTCGTTAGAACAAGATTCAGGTTGACGCCCGGAAATGGCTGTAATTTGCGGTGAGATTAATTTTCTGTCTCGAATTAATTTTTTCTCTCGACCCACTTCAGACGCGATCTCACGTTTAAAGTAACTCTTGGAAATTACGAGTGCATTTTATTCCGATCCGACTTCACTTAATTTCACCCTCGTCCTTGATCAATCGCTTCAATTTCATTCCGTTCAATTTCAATTATTCCCTCCTTACTTCCGGTGTTTATCTTACTTGATCATCTTTCTTCTCGTCAGATATCACGGATACGACGGATACTTGGACGTCACGACTCCTCCTTACGCCACTCCTTTGAGGGACTGTTTCCTGAAGGCCGGCCGAGAACTCGGATACGATCTGGTGGATTACAACAGCGAGAAGCTCATAGGCTTCTCAAGCGTGCAGGTCAACATGCGAAACGGGCGCAGAGTTAGCGCCAGCAAAGCTTTCCTCACGCCGATTCGCGGACGGCCGAACTTCTATCTGTCGAAGTTCTCGACCGTGACGAAAATCAAGATCGATCCGAGAACGAAGGTAGCCGTAGGCGTTCAGTTCGTGAGAAATAGCAAAACGTATTACGTCTCCGCTACTAAAGAAGTCATAGTCTGCGCAGGTATGCATTCACACAATATCGCTGGAAGTACAATTTAAAGAATTTAAATGTGACGAATTATTAAAAGTCAGATAATTAAAAAATTACTTGACTCTTACAAAATCGACGAATCTAATATTTGAAAGTTACAGCCTCGTAGATCTTTCCTCAGTGAAAACTACTGAATTTCATTTTATTTTATAAAATTCGCATAAAAAAAAATATATATTACTTTTTTGACTGTTTACTTAATTTAATTTTTTTATCTATTGAATTTCGCAACTAATAATTAAATAGCGCCGATTCATGCTGGCCTTCCGATTATTCAAGGATTACTTTATTACAATTTAAAAACAAAGTAAATTTATCGCGCTGAGAGATCGTTTGATGACTGTTAATACTTGAGAGACATAAATTCTGCAAGACTACGTGTATGTAAATTAATTCCGGGAAACATTCGGCTTACGAGCGGTGTGTTTTAAAGACCGCATCGGGGAAAATCCGCCTGATGTATTATTTATGAACGATAAGTACGGGACGGTTTTGAAATTGATACACACTCACGTTCGCACGTGCAACCGGCTACATCCCGATTGTCATTCTGATCGCACAGGCACTTTAAATTCGCCGCAGCTGTTGATGCTCTCCGGGGTTGGGCCGAAGGACCATCTGGCTTCCTTCGGCATCGACGTGATCGAGGATCTTCCCGTGGGATTTAACTTGCAGGATCATGTGAGCATGGCGGCTCTGACGTTCCTAGTCAACGACAGCGTCACGGTCATGGAGCCACGTATAGGCAGCAATCCGGCGAACTTTGTAGAGTATCTGACGCACGGAACAGGCCCGTTGACGATACCCGGCGGTGCAGAAGCGTTAGCGCTTATTAATACTAAGACCAGCGATCCGAGAGTTACGCGAAGGGAAAAGTCAAAGTACGACTCGCGTCTGAACAACTCGCCGGAGAGCGGCGAACGACCCGGTGAGAGCACTTTGTTTCGGGAGAGACGCAGGGATTCGTTAACGGAGGACGATCACCCAGATATGGAGCTGGTGTTGGGCGTAAGCGCGTTAACCGGTGACGTCTCCGGAGGATTTCGCGGTCTGCTCGGGTTAACGGATGAATTTTACAAAGAGGTGTTCGCTGGTTACGAGGGCTTCGACGCTTTTACAATCGTGCCGGTGCTCCTACAGCCGAAAAGCCGCGGTAGACTCACCCTGAGAAGTTCCGATCCGTTTCACTGGCCGGTTCTGGACGTCAATTATTATGACCACGAGGACGATCTGAACACGATGGTGCGAGGTATAAAGAAGGTAATTACTCCCATTGGATGCATCGTCTCACCGTTTTCCCGACTCATTATTCATTATCCGTCCGTCGAAAGGAGACATTATTTGCGAGCTACTTCGAATTAAATCATCTTCTTTTGGATTACTAATTTCTCCGATCATTTCCGAAATATTAGAATCTCGAAATTAGGATTAGTGAAATTTAAATATTTGAGGCTCCCCGCCTCGCGTCTATTAAAGACTTCGAGAAACCGGAGAAAGTATGTTCAAAATTCATGCGGGATAAAAGTCAAAGTCTTTCCTCTTACCTCATCGAAGGAGAATGAAATTCAGTTTTCATTTCAAATGTGTCAAACGTCAGCTCGCTTATTCAAATTAACTGGCCATGAAGTCATTATTTTCATCTTCCAGCGCCACTAAAAGATATTAATAATAATAATAACGGAGGTATTTTCATGATACTCACTTCAATTGTCGCAGGCGATCGAGGTGGCGTCCACGCGGGCGATGAAACGCTTCAACGCCACGCTGCTGCCGGTGTCGTTTCCGGGATGCAAGCGCATCTCTTTCAACAGCGACGCGTACTGGGCTTGCGTAGCGCGTCACGTGAGCACGACTCTGGGCCATTTCGCCGGCACGTGTAAAATGAGCACGAGGCAGGATTCGGGCGTGGTGGATCACAGGTTGCGAGTGCATGGCATCAACGGTCTCAGGGTCGTGGACACCAGCGTGATGCCGACGATAATCGCCGGTCACACGAACGCACCGGCGTACATGATCGCCGAGAAAGCGAGCGACATGATCAAAGACGACTGGAAACGCCAGACGTGGCCGTACACGTCGAAAGTATCGTAACTTGAAAACGCCCCAAAATTGGATGGGAACTTAATTAAGATTAAGAAAACGCCGGGTACGTACGGGAATAATGTATATATCTATATATATATATTACTCACAGATAGAGAACCGGTAGTGGAATTATGTTACACAACGATGTGCAGAGATTGAGTGATGAGATTTGCTCGCGTGTATCCTAGTCAGTGACTAATCGTAATGAGTGCGTACGTTGTAAAACAATGTCGTAAAACTGTGTGTCGATAATGTTAGTATGCTAGTATCGGTGTCAACAGCGATATCACACGATCAAGTGTACGTACAATCGATCCGAACAGGACTGCTCCTACCTCAACCCGGAAGAAACGACGATTCTCTTTGGCTGCTTTACAGTTGCTAGTTAAGACGTTACGTCTGCCATTCATCAAGCGAGAATTGCATCAATAAATACCACGAGAGACACATACACACATGTGTTTCTACGACGGATAAATTATTAAAATTACGGTTGGTCGAACATAATTAAATGTATACTAAATTAACAAGTCGGCCGGTGAGTTAGTCGGTTTTCGTGCCTCTCTCTTGCTCGGAGATTGTTGCTCAGCTCAACGTACGAAGAATCTCACGACAAGGGCTGTGATCGGGAGCATTCCGTACGTTTGCCACTTTGTTGCGCCTGTTGGGACGTCAAAATTCATTATAACGATTAAATTATAAGCGATTCAATTATAACCGACGTGATTAACAATACGAACGTACACCGAGAGGAAAAGATTTAAAAAGTGAAAAATACTTATTCAGGGCACTAATAACACATTTATTTGTGCCAATTATGCATATTTTTATACAGAAAAACGTGTTTCAAGTGAAAAATATGCATTTCCTTAAATCTTCGCGTGGAAGTAATTTTGTTTGTTCCATTTGAATAAAAGGATTTAGATTTAAGTAAATATGTTATTAGTACCAATCGGAAAAATATTTTCTATTTTCTAGATATTTCTTCTCTCAGTGTGCACAAATATTTACCACTGTCGCTGAACTGAACGCAATCCTGCAGCTCCTCCGTCAACGTGTAGCCCTCGCTACAAGCGCAGAAACCTGCGAACAAACAACATCGCGTTGTCCGAAAGCTGCAGAGCAGTAGATTGTAATTTCGTGAGTATATTTAATGAACGTTTCCGTACCGTCCGCGCAGTCCACCTTCGACTTCCCTGACGAATTGGAGTCCTTGTAACTCCCCGTGATACAATGGTGATGAGTCTCACAACGGCCGCCTAGTTCTGCAATGCGATATTTTTTTCTCGGTTACTCGAAACAACAAGCGAAATTCGAAACCTAACAAAATTTGTATATATAATGTGTATTAAATGTAATTAAGATAGAGTAATAAGATAGGTAGACATCGTTTTAATATATCTCCTATAAGGAGGTTATTATTGTTAGCATAAAGTTACTCTGTGAGAGTTTAACACGTTCATTGCCAAGCTGAAAATTGGAATTTCGTGTGGTGGCCAAATTTTTTTAATTCTTTTATTTAGTTTTTATTGTGCTCCAAATAAGTTAATATATTATTTATATGCTTTTATTATTATGTACATAGGATTTATGTACTCTAAATATCTATTACGCGATAACGCGTGATCGGCCGTTTGATGAGAACTCGCATCACGCGATATCGCGTGATTGGCAATTAACGTGTTAAGATGTTCGAACGATTGACAAAACATAAGAAGAATCTGTAATATACACATGATGTAAAAGTTAATCGAACTAAAAAAAGATTCGTAAAAGAAATTTCAATAATTTTTACCGCATCGTTTCCGAGATACTTAATTATAAACATATATGTGTACAAATATAGAAACCTCATAACGCACCAAAGTTCTTCTAATTTGACATATTTATGCATAAGATAGATGTTTAAAAAATTTGTTGTAATATTTAAAAAAAAACTAATATAAATATCGTAGACAAATTTCAGAATTATTGACCGATTTGTGTTGAAAAATTTATAAATTTATAGTAAATATAGTAAAATTCAAGATACATATATATATACAAGCACATATGTGAACACTTGTATACTTCTTTCTATTCTGTGCATCTCTATTAAACCAACTGATGCATAAATATAGTATTAATAAGAAAAATAAGAAATAATATTTTCGTATTTATAATATTGTGTATATACATGTATATATTTACCTCAGCCTCATTTCAAATTAACACTTATTATTTGGGTAATGAAATAATATATATAATATATATAATAATATATAGAAACGTAATGTTGATAAACAGTAAATTTATGAAAACCCGGAAAATACGACATTTAGTGGACAAATCTCCTCAAGTTAGGAAGATCGAGTCAAATTCGCTGAGGAATCGAGCCGAATTGTTTCACTTCGTACTTCGTCGTTAAACATGGTCGTCCGGTTTTTATTCTCTAACTATCCGGCGAAAAAGCGGTGGATCGGCCTCGAGATCGAGGCGAGAATAATTTGAATATTCACCGACATCGACGAAGCATTGAAAGCCGCGTCTGTGGGAGCCCACGACGCAGTCGCACGTGTTGTTCGCGCCGCACTGGCTGTACTTTAGCAACAGCTGGCACTGGGACTGCTGCTCGCACTGTTGCCCGATCCTGGAAGCGGCTTTCAGACAATGCTGACCATCCTCGGCCAGCACGTAGTCCACCTTACAGTCGCATTTGTTCTGTGCTTGTATGCACTTGGAATTTTCCACGACGCACTCGAAGTCGTGGTGGCAATACTCGCCCAACGCTGAAACAACATGCGTATATGTGTTAGCGCTGCCAGTATAAACTGAGCGTTTCCGCATCCGGCTGCCGGCGATCTAAACACTTCTTTAGTCCCTTTAATGAAATCAATGCCCTCACCGACGCTCAACAGACAGCTGGTGTTGCTGGGATTTGGATGGTAGCCTAGGCCGCAACTGCAGAAATTGTAGTTGCAGAAAGTTTTCTCGATGTAGCAGTTGCGATGCGACCGACAGCGTTTTCCCAGACCTGATTCAAATGGTGCAACATAGTTATGGTAAAAGTCCACTGAATACGTCTGTTAGTTTTGAAGTGAAATGTTGAAATATTTCTCGCGCCTGGTGTGAAAAATTCGCAGAAAAAAATTTGCTGTTGTATCAATATATATATTTTTTTTAACATATATATAATATTATATTAATATATTTATATATACACATAATATATAAAATCTAATTTATAAATATAAATATAAATATAAATATAGAGGATTCACACAAACGATGCGAATAATGGTGTGAAAGTCAGCTACACTATGTTTCATTGTGAATGATCACGTTGAAAAATTCTCCAGCTCGAGCCGTATATAAGCGATAAGTCGAGCGAACTTTATTCCACGTCGTGCGTCTCATCTCATTAGTCTTACTGATCATCCTGAGATATTTATTTTTTTATGAGATACTTATTTTCTTATGAGATAGATATTTATTTATTTCGCCCATAAATATACATAACGGCGGGATCACAGGGCTGAGAAGCGTATATTTCTCAGAGGAAAGCGACTCACTCACCGACCGACTCGTAACACCTTCCCTCGGCGAAGTGGGAGCCGTGGGCGCATTGACAAGTGCCCTCCCGACATTCCGACTGCGGTGTAAACGTAAATTGACACTGCATATCCTCCTCGCAGGGATCGCCGATGCCAGTGGCCACTATCGAGATTACATTTCCTTAATCACTCGGTGCGATCGTCCGAATTTCGCTCGCGTGCTCGCTCGTTACTTCCTAAATTTCTCGGGGGCGAGATCTCACCCGGAGCGGGAGAAATTTCACTCGAAGGGACAACGGAAGTACCGTCACTCGGAATCACAAAAATGAAAATCTCGATCCACAAAAGCGAGTGTTTCAGTCGATTACAAATGAATTGGAAGTGTTCCGGAGACGAAATGGAAAATTTCACTTAAACGGGTGGAAAATACGCGTATTTCACGATTCTCGAACTTTGGCAACGGGATCTCGGATGAAATTGGTCTCGAGATCTCGTCGTTTACGTAATTTGATGAAGCCGGCAATTAGACGCGCGAGCGATTGTGTCGAATGGATCGCGTCTAAGAACGGATTCACGCGTTCCACGTCATTCGTAGAAATTATTCGTGATCTCCGTCGGCTTCAACGAGCACAACGAACGACACGCTCCAGGTGAGACGGGATCGTGAGAAAGTAACGGATAGGAATAGGGATGAACAGGTATCTCCGTGGAATCTAGTTTCCCGAGGTCGATGACATCGCTCCCGAATGTGTTTGGACGATTAGGCGTGCCTTTTATCTAAGCGTCCGGCGACTTCTCTCCGGTATCTTTTATCTGTATCTCGTCGGGAACGCGCACTATTTCGCCCGCGTGTGAGATCTAATCGACGACGTGTCGTGTGTTAACGCACATCACGCCCGTGAAAAACGCACATAACGCACACAAGTACCTCTTAAACATTTAAAGCTGTTGCCATTCACGAACGGGATATAGTTCTCTTTGCATGAGCAGGTCTTCTGATTCCGGCAATATGCATTCGGTATGCAATCGACGTCGTATTGACACTCTCCGAAGGTCTCTGAAAAAAAAAAATATATTCGCTCCATTTGTAACACGAATCATTATGACGCATCGAGACGTCGAGAGAATTTTTCAAAATTCGCTCTCCTCGACATTCGTACGTTCGGCATACGAATCTTCGTAGAGATGATATCGTTGATTTACGATTTCGTGAAATGCTTAAAAATCTAGAACCCCTTTTAACGTACTGTGAAGAATTTGTGAAATGTGTCTTGTTACTCCGCCAGGCGATTTTATTCTTATACCGTAAACTTCGAATATCTTCGAAGTTTCGGAATATTGCAATTACAAGATTTAAAACGTAACAAACGTCGCTTGAAACCGCTATAAAATTTTAAATTTCTCAGTATACCTTGAGTAAAATATATGTAGACGTTAGTCTGTACAGCATTTGCAAGATTGCTCGAAACTTCGAAGATTACGGTTTCTGAAAACGAACCTTCAAAGGTTTCGCCTTGTCAACATTTGAAAGTTCGAAGTTTCCCTCGAAGCTTCGAAACTTCAAAATGATCGGATATCAACAGCCCTGTTTAAAATCTCGCGTGATTGAAAATCTAAAAGAGCCTCGGATCAATCGAATTCAATTGAATCCGATAAAGTAAACGCTTCCCTTCAAATCTACCGAATCCCCGACGTTCTCCCGACGTTTCTCGGAGTTTCTCATTTTTCGAACGTGTTCGTCGGTTTTACCAAAACTCTGCTAGCTCTTACTATTACTGCGATCGTTGCATCGCGACGAGTCCTGGTTGACGTAGGTGATCGTCGCGCAGACGGTAACGGGTACGAGGACGAGGAGCCCCGGGATGCCGCTTACCGTCCACGTCTTCGTCATCCTCGAGACGGCGGATGAACGCCGCGTCCGGAACGTTTCATCACCACCGGCCGACTTATTGTCATTTTCGGTCCCGGGGACGAGATCAGCCGATCGCACGAAGGTCGTCGCGTCACGATCGACGGTTCCGTTCGGTTCACGACGAAGCTCTCATTGTTTCCACGCTCGTTCGTTGCGCAATCGCAAGCAGGAACACGCACACCTCCAAACACGCCGTTATCGTCGGACTATATCTCGCGTAATTACATCGGATTTCCTCGACGCATCCTTCTCTACGTGTCTCTTTCTTTCTCGTCTACTTAAGACGAAATCCTCCGATTCCTCTAAATCAAAATTTCGCCGTCTCATTTCAGCAAAATCTCAATTAATTCTCACAATTAATTCTCAATTAATTAATCCTCGGCCGCACGAACTTCATCCCGTAACTTTTCCCCCTTTCACATCGACGCGTCTGAACTAAAAAACGTTGCGACGCGTTTGTTAATCATGTTTATCGTGCGATCGAGTTTACCCAGGGCAACACACAAACGTCCGAAAGGTGACTTATTGCAATCGAAGTATACATACATATGTGCACGTATTTAAACACTCATACACCTGTAATAGAAAATTATCCGTGCATCTCTATTAGATCAACTGATACATAAATACATTAACGAGAGAAAGAACAAATAACAATATTTTCCTATTTGTAATATTATGTATATATAAATATAATATATATATACATATATTTATTTACCTCAACTTTGTTTCAAATTAACATTTATTATTTAGTGAAATAAATGTATAGGAACGTAATTTTGCAAACGTTAAATGTATGAGAAAACTCCCTTGAAAATACGATATTGAGCCTTACAATCTCCCTAAGGAGATCTTAGATACACGATTGGACGATCAATACCGTCCTTAGAGATCTGAAAGATATCTCACTTCTCCTTTCAGACTCGTGTGTTGTTCGGGGCAGACCCGAATGTATGTGTGTTCCAGTTCGAGGCGTTCGTTGTCGAGCTCGTCGCTATGGCATCGATTCGTTTCGTCGATTCCCAGCGGCGGAAGATTCCGAGCCGGCGGCGTCCCGCTGCAAGCGTATTGCCCACGTTTAAATTCGAATATCGCCCATTCATCGGCGGTAATCGCGAGTTTTACACTTCCGGTCGTCGTCGTCGTCGTCGTCGAGTTCAGACGCGCGAGTAACAGATGCTAAATCGCTCGGACGGGACTCGGTGTCCCGTTCGACTTAAATCGGAATCGAGCGCATATCGCGTCGCTTCTTCCCGGCGGTGAAGTCGCGAAACATGCAAATGGAGTATTCATTCATTCGAATAATGCGACGCTCCTTCGGGCAAGGACGTAATCGAACGACGGAAATTTGCATGAAGACGGACGCCCGAAATTGGCTCCTTCCGCCCGCGGAAATCTTCCCTTCCCTCGATGGATGAAATTCGATGACCCCTTATCCTCATTATCCACATTCTCATTTGCTAATTCTCTTATAAAAATCCCATACTGTGCATCGAAAAAAAAGTGCTAGAATCAAGGTAAACATAATTATCTATTTTTCAACCTTCTATAAATCAAGTAGTATTTTTGCCAATTTAAATATATACCTTCCCGATCGAAATAATACTTTCGAGTAAATATTTATTCGGATATACGTAATAATACCTTAATGGTGGAACTTTTTCACTCAATGTACTATAACGACACGCCTCGTTTCATTTCACTCCGCCGTGCCGGGTTTCCGTTTTCATATTTCCTCACCGCAGACACGGGGAGAAGACCCGTAAAAACTCGGGCGCGACGATTTGAACGAATGTTCGATCGGCGCGGGGGCCGCGCGAGACTCGTGGGCGACGGTGGACGCTCTCCGCTTGGGGGCCTCAATGACGATCCCGTAAATGCTCGAAGGTCGATCGAGACGTCGAGAGCGAGCGGGAGTTTAGCGCCCTGCGTTTCTATAGTTTCGATTCGTGTTGCGCAACAACGGAGGGCTTACATATATAACAGCAGAAGCCATTGTTGTGTGTCAACAGTGCCGTACTTAGCGAAAATCGTGGCAGTGTGGGGAAGTCCTTGGACTAAAAGACGCATACGAAAGCAGTTTCACGCGTGCATGCGCTCCGTTTCTCAGACGCCCATTAAGTACGTATGTCGTAGCGCGTATGCATGTACAGGACATTGTCTACTTTATTTTCAGTTCGATCGAAGATTCGTTTCGCAATGCACGGTAAGCGAGCTTTGCGAATGTTCTGTGTGAAAAAGCGTCCTTTTATATTCGAAATATATCAATCTATCTCTATTTCTCTCTCTCTCTTTCTCTGCCTACAATATTCTACATATATTCATAGAATCCGATTATACGTTTCAAAACTTAATATTCTAGAATTTAATATTCTGGAGTTAACAATATTTCTTGCTTTCTGAATATCACGCGCTGTCTGGGAATAACGCGACGACTATATCGTGGGATCCTCCAATTCGGAGGATCGATTTGAAAGAGGACGGAACGAATTACAGATGACCCGGGGGATAACCAGTCCTCCTCCCCGTGATAACGCGGCGACGCTTAGCGGAACGTAAAATTAGAGATGATAGATTACGCAGCGCGCGGGCGGGCGGGCGCACGTTTACGTCGACTTAACGACGTCCGGTGTTGTTATTTGCGCGGCTTAAGAGGCGGCTTGTGCAAGTTTCCGAGCTTCGTCGGGGGCGCGTGTTGTAAAACACATTGTTCAACCGAAGGTACCAGACGAAGGAAACCGGGCCCCCCCTTTGTTCCTTAATTATGAGCGGGTTCTTTCTACTCCGACATTCACCTAACTGTGTGAGAAACCAGGAGCGTAGATCCGGTCCCCACGACTAGCCGCGCGCGTTCTTCGCGATTCCCCACGAAGGAGGAAGAAAGACAGAAAAAGAAAGAAAGAGAGAGAAAAATTACTAGGTCATAAAAAGGTAAGCTATCTTTAAAACATTCCGCGTCACGCCCCCCCCCCCCCCCCCCCCCNCGGGCTGAAAACGCGCGATGGAAAGACGCGAAAAGCGCCTCGGTGGAGGCGAGGAAAAAAATTTCATCGGCGGAGAGCTCGCGCCAGGTCAATTCCGTGCTTTCCCCCTTTCCAGTCGACGAAGCGGTACGGCACGGAATGCGCGTTTAAACGCGAAATATTTCGCGACATGCAGAATACAGTTTTTCGCGCGAACATCGCTGTGACGAACTTCCGCTCGTCCCGCGCGACGTTCGTCCCATTGACGATCTCATTCCGGCGGTAGAACATATTTTTGAAAGATCTCTTAAAGACGTCCGAGAGATATCTTAAAAAAAAGAAAAAAAAAAATAGAACGCCTTTTAGATTCCTTTCAGACAACTCTTAGACTCTTAGTCCTGCCTGGGACGATTCCATCGACTTAACGACGAATCCATTTCGCGCCCGCGACCTACGCACCCTCCGCGCCGGACGGAGTCTCTCGCGAGTCTCTGCCAATCCGCGAATTTTCCGCGATCTCCTTCGCTTTTCCCCGCTTTCCACATGCACACACATACACACACACACACACATACGGCGAGCACGCGATTTGTCTCCGGGAGTTCTCGCACGCGACGCCTCGCACGAGCGAAACACTCACGGACCGCTTCTCCGCACTCACTGTAGCCGATCGGGTCCTTGCGCGAGCCGAGCGCGCCGGCGACTGCACTCCGCGCGGCGAAGCCCAGCGCGATTGACAGCAGGATGGTGCGCAGCTCCCTCACCGAGGCTCTCCTCCTCGCCATCTCATCGACGAGAGTTATAAGAGTGGCTCGTAATGATGTTTCCTCAAAAATCGACAGCGGTATTAAGCAGGATGAAAAAAGGCGACGGAAGAAAGAAAGAATGTGTGTGTGTGTGTGTGTGAGAGAGAGAGAGGAAATCCTGGAATTTAGGCGCTCTCCTCCCGACTGCGACTTCTTTATCCGCGTCCGTACTGATAAACTGATAACCTCCTCCTCGATAGTTCTTATTTATTGTTGGAAACACGTCGCACGCTGAAGTACGGGTGGGACGGAGCGGAGGTGGGGCGAAGGGTGGCGTCCGTCCGGATAGCGGATTGGATGTAATATCGTGACAATGTGTCCCGTGCTCGTGTTTGAACGATGGGTTGATTTTCTATCCCTGATGGGTCCCTGTAGCTGCTTCAAGAATAGAAACGAAACCTGAAATTAAAAAAAAGAAAAAAAAAAGGAAGAAACCGATCGATATGATGAGTCGATTTTCACGCATGCGACGTTCACGCATCGCGAGCGTTGCGTTGAATTTTACGCGAGGTAAAAACTACAACGTGTATATTTCTCAAATACAGCTTTACGATAAAATAGCTTTAAAATAACTCATAGGTATTTAAGATACGCTTGTTGGTTCTAAAAGATTCGGAAGATCGCGCGGGAGGGGAAGGGAGGAAACGGGCGCTCCGAACGACGGACGAGGAGAAGAGGGACGATTGCTCCGCTCGCTCGGATTTTCCGCGCTCGCTCCAAGAAGAAGAGAAGCATTTTAATGACCGCGTTAATTAAATGCACGCCAATGGAAGTGGCTTTAAACACTTCGGTGCGCCTAGTTTCGAGCCGTCGCCTTCGCCGGCGGTGAAACGCTGCGCAATTATGGCGGCGTGAAACGCTGACAACGAACGTCTCCGCTGTCTTTCCGTCTGCGCTCGTAGTTTCTCGCGGCCGCTTCTTCGCGAAAGAGAGACGAGAACGAGTCGATCTCGATTCTCCTGCCACCTCGACGACGGAAAGCGGAAACGACGGGAAACGCGATGGGAAACAGATATCTCCTTCTTTTTTATTCTATGCTCAAGAAAAAGTTGCGAGATTTCCAGTGTTTCGCGTGACCAACTAAACGCGTGACTCATGTAACGATAACGTTGTGATCTTCTATCGAAGTTAACATGACGTCTTTGTGTGCTCATCCGCCTGCTCGATTTCCCGTTTCTCTTCGTTTTCCACCCCCCCCCCCCC